GAGAACAGATCTCTCCCGTGGTGAACTCGAGTTAGTCAATCGAATGGTCAACCCTGCTGCTTGGAACAGATTGTGAGGTCCGGTGGTGGCCTGGAACGGTAATGGGTGACTCTCGTGGATCCACGAAGTTGTCCAGTAAGGCTGAGGGAGGTTCCTGAAACAGAAAAAAAATGAGTTAGGAGGGCGCCGGAGTATTTTCCAGCGTATCCCCTCCGACGATTAAGTCAGTTCTTTGAGAGAGGGGAAGGAGAAAACACTATATTGGTTTGAGAAAAGGTTCTTTGTTGCATACCGCCTTGCCTTTTGTGAGGAGTATTTATACCTCAAAAACTCATGATTGCTGTCAGTGTGGTCAGTAGGTGATAATTAGATACAGGCAACGTATGCACTGATTTCTATGAGGAATGTCTTCTCTCTTAACTGCTCGGGACCCCGAGCAATCAATACTGCGTCATCGGCCTGCCGAATGTTTTATGAGCTTCTCTCGGCAAGGATGTAATAAATGCCCAGTCATATGGACATTTATTACCTTTCACTTCCGAGCCTTACTACATTAAATGATGTCTCATTAAGGGAATGGTGCACTAAATGCTTGCTTTCCCAAGTTGTGTGTCAGTAAGGGCATCTCGGTCTTTTTGTCTTTGATTTGACATAATATATCACGCGCCCATTCCCCATTGGTTGTGTCTTCTGCCTTCTTGTGTCTTCTGACACCAATTGTGTAAGACGAGGTCATGATGACTAACCTAGCCTAGTCTAGGCTAGTGACCTGTACATCAATAGCTTCTGCAGGAGCAGAGAACGCTATCCTGGACGGGTACATCTCGGTACCGAGGGACAAGTACGTGTAGGGACCGATGTACCCCATATTTGACCGAGGGATACGTGTCGGTACGTAACGTACTGGATGTCATTGATCCCTATGAACAGTACCTCGGGGGAAGAGGGACTTGTGAACTGACGGGTACGTGTCGTGATCACAGTAACAAGAATTCACTGATGCCGAAGACACGTGTGTTCATCTTGGAGTATTTGGAAATCTCCCATCAATTATGTATAATTTGAATTTAACCAATGTACGTGATTTAGCTTATGATTGCATGCGTCTGAAGTTTATGTTAAAATCGTTAGTCTACAAATTATGATTAAAATGATTCCTTGTAAAAAGAAAAAGCATTTAATAACTCAATGGCTGTCACTGTCAACAACCTAATCAATTCAAGTTCGAATCCCCTCCAAGTTTTTTGTCAAAACCCATGTTTCTCTTGATTGATCCGTTCACGTAAATCCGAAGAAGTTTTCACAGACAAGCCAATTTTATAAACAAAGACGATGTTATCGCAATGAATAATGCTGCTCCTTCATCTTAGATCATGCATTGATTACTCAATTTTATTTTCTCCTTTGATAGTTCTAGTGGAGAGATTTCAAAAGAGCAATTTTTTCTCTGCAGAAAAATGTGCTGGTTAGGCAAAGTGTTGGGGGGGGGGGGGGG